GTGGCTCTTTGCATAAATTGGTGGCAGCTGTGGGATACGAAAAGGGTCCATGGTGTGGCCACAATGGAAGAAAAGGAAAAGTGCACTTCACTTAGGGCACACGCGCGCGCAGCCCCCGCCAACCGCCACCAACCACCACCACCGCTGACCCCTGCCGCCATGCCACCGCTATGCACGTCGTGGCTGCCATTTTGTTTTCCAAAATGGCGGCTGCAGCTCATTCATACATGTGCAGGAGTACTGCGCATGTGCAGACGAGTCACGGCTGCCATTTGGGAAAACAAAATGGCAGCCACGACTCACATGGCAGCAGTGCGGCGGCAGTGTGCATGGTGGCGGGAGTCGGCGGGGGTCGGTCGGCAAGCCTTGGCAGGCCGGGTGCGGCCCACGGGCCGTAGGTTGCTGACCCCTGACTTAGGGAATTGGGTATATTTAACCTGGATAAGAGAAAGTGAAGAGTTGATATGCTAACCCTTTTTAAATATTTGATGGGATGTCATACTGTAGATGAAGCAAGTTTGTTTTCTACAGCTCCAGAGAATAGGACCCAGAGCAATGGATTCAAACTATAGGAAAAGAGATTCTACCTCAACATTAGGAAGACCTTCTTACCAGTAAGAGCTGTTTGACAGTGTTATATGTTGCTTTGGAGAATGATGAAGTCTCCTTCTTTGGAGGTTTTTAAACAGAGGCTGGATAGTTATATCCATTCTTTGATGTATATTCCTGCATGGCAGGGGATTGGAATGGATGGTGCTTGTGGTCTCTTCCAACTCTATGATTCTATTATTCTACTAATACCACCACACCAAGAATGTACTCAGCCATCTTACCTGGTTTCTGTCTTCTATTCATCCACATAACGACCCTTTAAGCCAAGAGGTAATGCTGGTCCACAGTCATATGGTTAAATTCCATGGCTAAGCAGTGATTTGAACTGTTCTAAATCTAGCACTTTAAACATTACTCTATATTAATTCTCTGAGAAGCATAGTTACTCTAAAATATGTTGCCAGGGCTGAAATATAGTAGTAGACAAAGTGCAACTGTTAATGTACTGCTTTAGTATGATTAGAATGCAGATTAACAATATGCATAATTAGGGTGCTTTTTTTAAAAAAAAATCCTAATATGCAGATTTTATGTCCAGATTTGAGTGATTGAAGTGTAGCAACACTACTA